CACTACATCTTCATGGAGAATGCCTTCTCTTTATCTACTGCCTCTGGTTTCCCTTTGAAGTTCTCCATGGCTGGTGTGATTGCACCTGGGGTAAAGGGAGGTTTCACTCACTCACCTACTAAAACAATGGTAAGTGTATTTGTAAAATGAAGGTACGTCCCCTTTGAATTTCTATTAAAAGCTTTTCTGTTGTTTCTTGCAGACTGACTTGTCATTCATGCCTTCAGTTGGGCTAGAATTCATCACCCAGATGGGTGTGCACATTCCAGACTATCTAGAGGCGGGGCTAGAGATGCACAGTCAATTGTACTCTGAGAGTTCCCTCAATGCTAAGGTCACCCTGAGCAGGAACCAGATGAGATTGTCTATCCCTGCTCCTAAGTCAAACACGCAGTTGTTCAGCATTAGGTTGGTGGCACCTTTGCCAAATAAAACAAAACACTTTCAGTGTTTCCTAGTATCACGTTGACCTGTTTCTTCACTTCTCTATCTTTATGGAATACAGCAATGAGATGCTGTCAGTGTCCTGTGGTCAAACAGAAAAAGTGCCATCGTTGATGGAGGACAGGATTGACTCAACTGACTGCCAACCCCTTTTAAGAGGTCTAAATATCTGCACAATAGTGCGTTACTCCAATGCTACTTCCATCGACCAGGCCTCATATTACCCTCTGAATGGAGAAAGCAGGTAAGAAATCAAATGTAATACCCATTGCTCTTTTTGATTTGAGTTCTTTATTTGTTTGTTTCTATTTGTGCAGCTAATATATGAATAGTTATTGTTTTTGATGGATATTTTAATAACCCTAATGTAGTTCTCTATGATTTAAACTTTCCAGGTAATTAAGACTTGACCAAAGAGCAGAGACAATTCAATACAGCTTTACATTACATTACATTACATTACATGTCACTTGTTAGACGCTTTTATCCAAAGCGACTTACATACTCAATACTGTGGACAATCCCCACAGGAGCAATTTGGGGTGAAGTGTCTCAGGGACACAACGACATGCTGACTGCAGTGGGGTTTGTACCTGTGACCCACTGATCCCAACACCTCAACCCACTGCACCACACACCTCCCGCTTTATTTATAGAGCACTTTAAACCTCCAGACCAAAGTGCTTTACAGTCAAATAAACAAAACAAAACATACACCAAATAACACAGCACAGCTCACACAACATTAAACAAGTACAAGTAAAAACAATAGACAATTTAAAAGCAATAAAAGCAACACTCTAAAATATGTTAATACGCTAAGGAGAAGAGGTGGGTTTTAAGAAGTGATTTAAAAGCAGATAATGTGGAGACCTGCATGGGCAGATCGTTCCACAGTGACAAAATAAATGTGTTATTTTTTCAGGTTTGCAGTTGAAATCCAGCCGACAGGGGAAGTCTCACAGTACACTGCCACCATCATTGATGAAACGCTCAGAGAGGGTAAAAAGGGTCGTCATAAGGTAGACTCTCTGAAGCTAACGCTGAAGGCAGAAGGTACTGCTATAAGAAATATTGTGTTTCCATTGCACAATTCTACACCCCAGACTTAACATTCATGTTCAGCGACTATACAGGAAGTAGTGTTTTGAAAAGGTAGAAGTCAGGAATGTTGAGTTTATTCTGTTTGATGGTCATGCAATATGTTTTACTTTCATGCAAGACTTTCTGTCTTAGACCAGAGCAGTGTCGGCAATCCCCAGAATCAGAAAATTATACTTATGTAATAACTACACTCTCCTGCTTTTGCTCTGCTTCCAATGTAGCTATTTTTTAGTGTCGATTTTATTCGAACAGATTTCCCTGAGTTATTTCTGGGTGAAAAGTCTTCTCTCGGTCCAAGGGCAAGATTGCTTACTTAAGTAAAACTGTCTAGCTAGCATGTATCCTATTTCATGTTATGACTCTTATTTAATCTTTCTTTTTGGACATTTGGATTTGACATGCTTGGCGCAGACAAATGAGGTATGCACATGTTCAAGAATATCGCCCCAAAGGTCCTCTCACAGAGTTTAGAGAGGTTGAAGATAGGGTTTGGATTTGACTGTAAGTATATGAGATAATGCCTTTCATCAGGGGAACCTGAGTGAGAAAAGCATTCAGAGGCGTGTCAGGAAACTGGGCATATATATTGCGTACCAAACTATTGCAAATTTGCCGGTAACTAAATAAATAATTCTTTGGGAAGAGAGAACAATTCTGGGAGCTGTTTTAAAGATGCAAGATTATTATCAACAAACAAATATTTAAATAGTTTAATACCAAGGTTGGAACATAAAGACAATGCACAGTCTCATATGGAGAGGGGAAGCATGATTAGCAAATAAGATAAGATAATATAAGATAAGATGGACCTTCATTGATCCCTGTGGGGAAATGCAGGTGTCATAGCCGCAACAGAATGTTTCAGACAGAAACACAGATAGTACACATGGAATAATAAGAATACAATTAAAATCATACAAAATAAGATAAAATAGGAATAAACATGTATTAATAGTATGAATAGAAATACCAAAAATTACACGAGTTAAACTCTGAATAGGGCAGGGGTCTGCAACCTTTTTGACTAAAAGAGCAATTTTGCCTCCTTTTCTACCCATTATTTTTGTCTAGAGCCGCAAAACATATTTCATTGCTGGATAGCTTATATATATATATGTATATATTGTTATCTCATAGACAAAAACTACAGTTTTTTTGCATTTATTATGTATTACATTATAGAAAACGGTTTACTCACCATTAGATGTGTTGAGCTTTTTAGGACCAATGTTGATTATTTCAGATTTATCGCAGTTGAGTTTGAGGAAGTTTAGTTGGAGCCAGGATTTTATTTCAGTGATGCAGTTTGTCATGAAGTGGGTAGCAGCGGAGATGGACTTGGTGGAGATGATACAGGAATAAGAATCTTGGCAATATATTCATCCCAACCATTTATATTCTCCCCATTAGGTTGAGAGGTAGAATTCCCCACCTGTCAACATCTCGTTTATTAGTTTCACATAGTTTGCCTCAAATAGCTTTGATGTGACAGGAGTAATATTAATGCCCAAGTATTTAAATCCGTTAGTGGACCATTCAAAATTAACCTTACCATCCAGCTCTGCTGGACAGTCCACCAGAGATCATCTACCGATTTTGTTTCATTCGTCAAATAACCGGACATTTCTCCATATTCATTAAGATCGTTCAACAGAGCTGGAATAGACGAGGATGGCTCACTTATATATGTTAAAGGTCCCATGTCATGCTTTTCCGGTTATTACCCATAATAACCGGTGTTGTAGCTTTTTCTGCATGTAAACAGTCTGCAAAGTCACAAACCCTCAAAGTACACCCTGTAGCTTACACACGGCGGCGTGCGTTGAAGCTTGCCGGCGGGCATGTCTGAAGCTAGACCAACAACCAATCACCTGAATCTCCCGCCCCGGACACACAAGCAGTTTGATTGGCTAGAGCTTGTACTAGCATATGATTCGATTGGCTGACGCTTCCGCCGAAGCTTCAAAAGTAGAACATTGCTCTACTTTTCGCTTTGCTCCCACAATGCAGTTGTGGGAGACGTCACGGTCACCGCAAAGTGAATGGGCAGAAGTGTTGAAGCTTCAACGCACACCGCCGTGTGTAAGCTCCGTTACACTGTAGGTGTGCCGCGTTTGGGGAGGCGGGTGCTAGTGGCTCCCGAGTCCATGGTGCTCAGGCTGAGTTCAGGTTGAGTTTCGCGATATCTCGCTGTCTCGCAGACCCCACGCAGCAACCAGGAAACAACACTAATAATACAGCTCACACTGTCCGCTCCTCACAGCAGCGAGCCGCGCAACCTCCCGCCAACATGGCACCCAGACCCCACGCAGCATTCTCATCTGTTTGTCATTACTGTGTCATTTTCTGGTTGCTAACGCCAACATAAGTATTACATTCAAATGAAGTAAATTATTCAAGTTTACATTAACTTTGGATAATGACACGGGAGAAATGAGCGGAAGCAGTCTCTTTTCCTCTCCCCCTCTCGCTCTCTCTCCTGAAAGCCTGTCAGTATCGTCTCATGCAGCCCACTGATCCAGTAATGAGTGACCCGACAGTGAAGAATAAATATACTTATAACTAGTTTAGCTAGTTCCAGAGGTAGATAAAATAGCTAAGTGTGTGTTAGGTCGAGCAGCAGGATATCTGCTTCACACACGTTGCATACCGCTATTTTATTGTCATCTTCGGACACCTTAAAATACTGCCAGACTGGCGAGCTTGTTTTGCCGCGCACAGAGAAAAGTGTCATGTATTTTACTTCATAATTTTACGTCATGCGATCGGCTCTCGCGATTGGCATTTTTAGAGTGCACCGATCGATCGGCAGAGATTTAGTATCAGCCGATATCGATCGGCGGCCGATCGATCAGAGCATCCCTAATTATTAGCTCCCTGTCTACATGGGATGAAACCAGTTTGATCAGGTTTGATATGTTTGGGCTACCACTTTACAATAAGACTACCCTTATAAAGGGTTTACGAATTGTTTGTAATTAATTAATTAATTAGGTTGTGAACACTTTATAAATCATTAATAAGCTTTTATAAGACATGAGATAAACAGGGCAACTGTGACCGGTTGCTTGCCAAATAATGAGCCCACATGTATCTGTACTGCTAAGCCTTATATTGGCTAGCTAGCTTACTTCGTCTTCTTCATCAGCCAGCATCCTTGGTATCTGTTGCTCACTGAGTTGATTCTCCTCCCCCCCTCCATCTTGATGTTTCTTGGCATCTCTTATGACCATTTATGAATGAGTTACTACCATTTATAATTGGTAAAAGGGAGCCTTATTGTAAAATGTGAAACACATCACCATCTATTGATGAGTCACTAACATTTATAACTACTGAAAGGGTGCGTTGTTTTTAAGTTTAATACACATGTCCATTTATGAATGAGTTATAACATTCACGCTTACCTAATAAACATTTTTCACATGAAATGCAAAGTAAGATGCAACAGAGCCAAGCAAAACATTTTATTCACACATGAAGAAAATTAGGACTCAAAGTAATGACTGTTGATGAGTGATGCACATATTTATACATAAAAGCTTTTCTCAGACATAAATTAAAGACTTGGTAAGACATAATGGCACTCAGACTGGAAAGTCTTTGTGTATATTCTTGAACAAGCGTCCAAGCAGTCCATCAGGGTGAGCAGAGCCAAGCCAAGATGACCATTCAAGACCCTTGAGGTGTTCCTCCAACAAACTCTCTGTACGGTTTACTCTCAGTCTACGGACATGTCCTTTGACGGTCGACCAAGCTCTTTCTATATTTTGGATATGACTGCCGTCTGAGGGTTCACAAACCACCTGCTGTGGTTTATGGTGTAGTGGTTGTACCCCTTGTTACTCAGCACTCTCCTGTATGCCCTCCACTCATCACTAATAATGCTACTTCCTGACTTAACGTGCCGTCTAATCAGAGGGACAAGGTGGCATCTTGATCGTTTCTCCACTAGTTTCAACACTAGTCTGCGCTTTTGTCTTTAACTCCCATCATTCCGAAGACCCATTTCTTCCTTCTCCAGGTATGTCCAAAGCGTCCACATGCATACTAACAAAAAATAAATCATAACATCATCTTAGTTACGATACGATACGATATTACTTTATTTGTCAGATCAAGTCTAAAATTTGACTTGCGTCACAGCAGCTCCATGTCCACACATACACAATACATGAAACACAAACAACAACAAATTAACATAACAGCACAATCAGTGAGAGAAAAGCTGCTCAAAGAGCCTTCAGCGTGCATTTGATCTGGGATTTAGCTCTGTATTTACTGTGAGGACTGACTGATGCACAAAGGACTGCTTCAGTCTGACCTTATTGAATTGTGGGACCCTGTATCTCCGATTAGATGGTAGCAGTTCATATTCACAGTTCAGAACATGGTTTGGGTCAGAGATGATGTTGTTGGACAGCCTCACTAGGTTGTTATGATAGGCTGAGTCATAGAGTCTCTGACAGGGTTGACCAACAATCTTTGAGCAGATTTTTAACAGGTGGAGCAGTTTTCATTTTAAAGCTGCTGACAGACATTTGTACCAGGTAGTATTGCAGTACTGTAGAATGGACATGATCACAGATGTAAAGAACAACAGAAAAATTTCTCTGCTCGCCCCAAAAGACCTAAGACAGCGGAGAAAATACATTATTTGTTTTGTCCATTAACAACAAAATGCACACAAGTTACAGTTAAAATTGTTGCACATCATGTTTCAAAATGCCATACTTGTTTATTAGGTGCATTGTATAACACAAGTTAATTAAGCAATAGCTCACGACGGGCCTATGCTCCTTATATCACAGCTAAGGGGCGTGGTTCGGCCCGACGCGAAGTAACTTACAATTCTACCCGTGGTATACGCTCAGTATATCACGGCTAAGAACCAATCAGATTGCTTGATTTGACTTGTCCGTTTTATAAGGATAATTATACAGTAATGGTCCATATTGATTTATTTTTGTATTCTCTTACAAGAAAGCCCATCTCTAACTGCCGAACATAGGAATACTCAAATAAAATAGTTTACTTTATCAGCATTGGTATTACCAATGCTTACTATTTATTTGATACCAATTTGGTTATACAATTAATAAAAAGAACAAGGTTTGGGTTTGTTCTTCAGATACGACTGTGACGTTAACGTGTAGCTCAACCAACCATATAGTAATATCTAAGTAATCATCTTGAAATATGACATTAATATTTGTAATATACACACATCTTATTGTGAGGTTGATTTCACATACACTACGCCGCTCTTCAACACTACTTTGACGTTAGCTTGTCTAAATAATCAATCATAGCAAATTTAATTGAACCTTATCAATGCATAAAGTTACCTACCTAATAAAATATCTCTCTAACTTACAAGGATGACCTTATTTTACCAACCTCAAACAGAAGCCGTTTGTTCTACAGTATTATCCCACTTAATGCTTAACACTTCTCTTACGTTTTAACTTGGAGGCTATGATTAGCATCGTTAGCACAGATGTAGCTACACTTGCTTACTACATGCTAACCCAAGCCTTAACATTCATTAACGTTAGCTGACTAAAAACATAAGCAACACATAAATAAAGTACTCACCGTAAAACTGCATTCATGCACCGTCTGTTTTAAACGCGGAGCGAGTCATAATAGTCCGATCTAAGCATGAAGAATAGTCCACAAGGCAACAGCACAACAAACACAGCATGGGCGCAGCCTCCATTAATGTAGTGAATGTCTTAGTCCCTGATGCCAGAAACACTTTCAGCTGTGCGGGATATGGGGACTTTGCCTTCACGTTCTTCTCCTTTAACTTTTTTATTACGTCCCGCACTTGCTTTCTCTTTTTTTTTAACCTCATTCGTGTAGTCTTGATTGAAGTAGATGGTCTGTCCCTCATATGTAGTCTTTTTTTCCATGCCTGCTGTATAACCTGCTCTTTCACCTGATAATCTAGAAAGCGAACAATTATTTCGATAAGGACATCCACCTCCACCGGAATTTGTAGTGATGAGCGGATAAAGCCAGAAACAAACCCTATCGTGTCATTTTTCTCAGAGCCCTCCGTTATGCCATGTATCCGCACTTGTTGCGTCTCGACCTTGGTTCCAAGTCGTCTCACTTGGCAGCTAACTTTGCCTCTTGTTGAAGCAGGAAGGCGACCGAACGCTCCAGCCACACCGTCCTGTCTTCCGTGTCCCCCAGCCTCTCTTCCATATTCACCATTCGCTGCTCTAACAAGAGGCGCTTTCACACTGCAGTACTTTCCCACAAAGGTTCATCAGAACTTAGTTCATGAACTAAGTACAGATCACGTTCCACCGCTCCCATGTTTTCTTTTGTGTTGCCATAAGTTAGTCTCTCTGCGTTTGTGCGCTGGGCTAATGCTAATAATGCTAATGCGAGGATAATAAAATGGCGGCTTCATAAAACCTTTTGAGAGTTTTACGGGGCGTGCTTTGCATTCCGCCCAGCCAATCAGACATAGGAACCTTTTTCTCCCAAGAAAGTCCCTGCTCTCTAGCAGGGACGGAAAAGGGGGTAAAAAGGTTCTCATGAACACATTTTAGTTCCGGATTTTTTTGGTGTGAACGCAACATTTCTGAACTATATCGGAACTAAAGTGGGAAAAGTACTGCGGTGTGAACGCGCCTAAGGTTGTTCTTTCCACAAGTTTCTTCCGGTTTTGGGCATTCTGGCTATGCATCACTCATTCACCAATTAAAAAGAGGTGTCAATCATTAAAATCTACCGATGGGTACCAGAGATATGGAAAATTCACCCAAATGACCCCAAAGGTGTTTTTTGTTGTTGCTAAACATCTCTAAAAAGGTCAAATGTCACTTGTTTTGCATCAGTCTTGATACAGGGTACTTATTATATGTTATAGTTTGGATTCCTAAAGCTTTTTGTCTCCGATCCCATCATTCAAGGGTGGTTTTCAGTATAAGTAAGTAAGTATAAGTTATGGTCATTTGTTCTGGGAATGTCATTTTCGAGCCTGAGACCTGGAAAACAGGCTCGGGGCTTAACAGGTTAAGAAAACGTTATTCATGTTTATTTAAGTATTTATCATTCCCATGTTATAAGACAAAACAAAAGAAAACACCATCTTAGTTTTCTAACCACTACATTAAAAGAGTGCTTACTATACTGCATATTAACAGACAACTGAACAAGACTTCACAAGTCATGTTTATTTGCATAAACAATAACACACAAAAAATCAGAAAGCATATACGCCAAAAAGCTAAATAATTAAAACTTTCGAAAGCTGAAAAATATTTACAAGTTATGCTTTGGATAATATGATTGATCTTGCCATTATTGAAAAAATATAAAGAATGTCTAACTTCAAACTCTAATGGATCTTATGGAACTGATGATATTGGAGTTCATTCCCCAGTAAATGACACTGACGGGTCTTCTTGTTAGCAAAATTATTAGCTGACACTCTACTTCTTCTTTGAATTATCTACGTTTAGAGCAAGCCAATCAGGAAGGTCGCCAGGCGCTGAAGCAAATTCTCATTGAATTACATTGGGAAAGAGATGTTTTTTTAGGTAAATCAACTTTCCAGTATGAACACTTGCATAGCCCTTATTTATATTATTAAATCCCAAAAGTTTTAAAATGCGCTAAAAGCCTGATTACTAAATTGAAATTGCCCTGAATTAATTAATGTGTGCCATAAGAGTAGGTCCTTATCTATTGCAACCTTCTTATATATGTAATCATAAGGGGTGTCGTTGATGTTAAGGTCAATGTACCATTCAGTTTTCAATAAAAAAAAAAAAAATCCCAACGCTGACAGCTTGTCTTGTCTTGGGAGCCGAAGGGAAGCATGTTCAAGTCACAGAACTGACCAAGTAAAGAAAATAGACTATTATTTTGAGAGGCGCCAGTTTGCGTGATCGGCACAAAGTAGGTGCCCTCGAGCAAGGCATCAAACACCCACACTGTTTCCAGGGTGTTTAGTAGCTGCCCACACTCCTATACAGGGGCAGATCTAGAAAAATATTCATGGGGTAGCAAGAGGGTGGCAGGAGATTTTGAGGGATGGCATCCCCTGGCAGAAGTATATACTGATTTAATCACAGTCATATCAATCAATGTTAACTTGGAAAGCCACAATATTGATATTTTGACTTAATAACATTAAGTGACATTATTGTGGCACAACAGTAAATCCTTAAATATAAATATACAAGGTGGTAGACATAATTTAATGAATTTTAACTGAATGAGTTTGTTTCACTCTTAGACCAGCAGAGGAACTGCAGACTGCTGCAATAAGTACATGAATTAACTGTCTCATCGATGTTTGTCTGAATGAATATGATAATATTAACAATCATATTAATCCTATCAGCTATCAATCACTTTTATGATTCACATATTCAGTGTTATTATTAAATAAACTATATTTTTTGGAGGAGTTAATGATGAATGTTCCTCAAGATTCTTGCTCACCCTCCTTCAAATTTGAAAGACAAATAATTACTATCATATATCAAAAGAATCAGAACAGTTCAGCACCCGCCAACTTTACTGCAGTTACAAACTTGACTTTACATTAGAAAGAACAAACATTAAAGAAGTGACTAACTGCATAAATTAGGGTTAATAAACGTGTATTCAGCTAAAACATATACATCGCTGCAGTTATTATCCAGCGGAAAGTCCTTACCTACTGGCCTAGTTAAATCAAAGTGGTTACTTTTTTTTGGCTGGGCAGTGTAGTTTTACACACCGTGTTATTTTACTTTCTCAGGACTTAAACATTTTTTTGGGGCAGACCCCCACAAAGAAAATAAATATATATACCTATATATATTCATCTTAACAGTTTTTATGTTCATCCGTGAGCAGAGCATCAGGTTGGCATGTCTATTACAGCTGAATGCGGCAATTACCATTTTGTTCAGCAAAACGCCTCACAAAATGAGTAAGATCCAAAGCTTTAGTGGGTTTTGATTCCATGCTGAGTACAACCAAACTTGACAGTCTCTTCTCTGTCATTGTAGACCACAAATACCTAATTCCTTCCGTCTACTTGGGTCCGAATGCTTCTCGTTTTGCGCCGTCCCGTTCAAATGAAATCACCGCCAATCATATTTCCACGCTCGCGCCAGGGCCGGGCAGGGGTTACAAGGCTCGCGTCTTGTGCTGCATTCACTTGCACTCGGACATTAGAGACTTTCTCTAATAAATGTCCGATGAGCCACAACTTTCTGTTAGACCAGACAATATACAGGGAGGAAAACATGACAAGGAGAACAGAAAAACACCCACTACCAGACACACAAACTTAAAACCATGACAGAACCCCCCCCCTCAAGGGACGGATTCTAGAGGTCCAAAAAAAATCCAAAAGGGTGGGTGGAGGGGGTCCGGAGGACGGGTCCGGAACGACAACCCAGAGGCAAAACACAGTCCATGATGGGTGTCTCGGGCAGACGACCCAGGGGCAAGGCAGAGTTCATGATGGAGCTCTCGGGCCGACAGCCCGGGGGCAAGGCAGAGTTCATAATGGAGTTCTCGAGTGGATGGCCCGGGGGCGAGGCAGAGTTTATGGTGAAGTCCTCGACTGGGGAACTCAGGAGACCGGGCTCACGGGCAGGAGCTGGTGGAATCTCTGGCGGGTCAGGCGTAGACGAGACCCTGGACGGAACAGGACATAGGGTTGGCAGGACCCCCGGCAGAAGAGCAGTCGGCGGGCCCTCCAACGGCACAGGGCATAGGGTTGGCAGGACCCCCGGCAGAAGAGTAGTCGGCGGGGCCTCCAACGGCACAGAACATAGGATTGGCAGGACCCCCGGCAGAAGAGTAGTCGGCGGGGCCTCCAACGGCACAGGGCATAGGGTTGGCAGGACCCCCAGCAGAAGAGTAGTCGGCGGGGCCTCCAACGGCTCAGGACATAGGGTTGGCAGGACCCCTGGCAGAACAGTAGTTGGCGGGGCCTCCAACGGGACAGGACATGGAGTTGGCAGGACCCCCGACGATACAGGTGTCGGCTGGACCTCCAACGGCACAGGACATAGGGCTGACAGGACCTCCAGCAGAAGAGTAGTCGGCGGAGCCTCCAACGGCACAGAACATAGGATTGGCAGGACCCCCGGCAGAAGAGTAGTCGGCGGGGCCTCCAACGGCACAGGGCATAGGGTTGGCAGGACCCCCGGCAGAAGAGTAGTCGGCGGGGCCTCCAACGGCACAGGACATAGGGTTGGCAGGACCCCCGGCAGAACAGTAGTCGTCGGGGCCTCCAACGGCACATGACATAGGGTTGGCAGGACCCCCAGCGGAACCCCCAACGGACCAGGACATTGGGTAGGGACCCGAGAGGGAACTCGAGAGGAGACTTGAGAGGGAACTCAATAGGTGACTTGAGAGGTGACTCGAGAGGGAACTCGAGAGGGGACTCGAGAGGGAACTCGAGAGGGGACTCGAGAGGGAACTCGAGAGGTGACTCGAGAGGGAACTTGAGTGGGGACTCGAGGGGGAAACTGAGAGGTGGCTTGAGAGGGAACTCGAGAGGGAACTCGAGAGGTGACTTGAGAGGGAACTCGAGAGGTGACTTGAGAGGTGACACGAGAGGAGACTCGAGAGGAGACTCGAGAGGTAACTCGAGAGGTGACTTGAGAGGGAACTCGAGAGCGGACTGGAGAAGAGACTTGAGAGGGAAATCGAGAGGGGACTGCAGAAGAGACTTGAGAGGGAAATCGAGAGGGGACTGCAGAAGAGACTTGAGAGGGGACTCGAGAGGAAACTCGAGAGGTGACTCGAGAGGGAACTCGGGAGGTGACTTGAGAGGGAACTCGAGAGGTGACTTAAGAAGTGTCTTGAAAGGGGACTCAAGAGGGGACTGGAGGAGTGACTTGAGACGGTCGGTACGCCGACAGGACACGGGGAGCTGGCGTCGGCTGGAGAGCCAACAGGAGACGAGGTGCTGGAGTCGGCTGATACGTTGACAGGAGACAAGGTGCTGGAGTCGTCCGGTACACCGACAGGACTGGGGGAGCTGGCGTCGGCTGGAGAGCCAACAGGAGACTAGGTGCCGGAGTCGGGACCATGGCTACTGGGCCCGGTACTTGAGCCGGAACCATGGCTGGAACTGGGGCCGGAACCATGGCTGTTGGGCGTGGAGCAGAAGCCTGGAACCTGGCTGTGTAAGCCAGGTAATGGAGCAAGGAAGCAAAGCTGCATGGGCCACGTCTGGAATCCTGGCCAAGAGGGAGCAAATAAAGGGAAAATAGCAGGGGGCTGAGCCCTGTGGGACCCAATTCAGGAGTGGAGCAGAGGATGACTCTGAGTCACCAAGGCTGACAGAGAAAGTTCTATCATTTAGATATGACCTGAACCATTCCAGGGCTTTGCCCTC